CCCTCCTCAGACAAATCTGAGCATGTTTGGCTTTGAAACTCCACCTTAAGAGGAGCAAAGTAAGCAGAAGTGTGCTGGAGACTGGGTGTCATCCGGTGATCCTGATTTGTGCTGAGTTCCTCAGAAACACCGGGCTGTGGATCCAGGCTCGTCTCCTCTCACACGGTGTTCACAGTTCTCCTTCCTGTACGCAAACGGGGCTGATTAGCATACAAACAGACGGAGGCAGAAATGCCTGGCAGATTTCTGTCAGACGCCGTCCTGCTCTTTCGCCTAAAGGTCAAGCCTTCTGAAGGGTGGAGCAGCTCTGTCTGGCGCGGGCTGCCGCTCCTCTCCGGCTGAACCCGTTTTCCGTCTGATTTTCTCTTCATCGAGGAGGCCGAGGATTCTGCTTTCATTTCGGGGCTCTTTTCCGATGAACAAAAAGTGGGAAAAGCCAAAGAAATGAAGGGAAAATGTCTGCTCAGCTTCAGCTCGAAGGCTGATGGCATCCATCCATCCATCCATTATCATTACCCCTTATTTCCTAATGGGGTCTGGGGGGGGACTGGAGCCTATCCCAGTAGCCAATGGGGAGAGACGGGGTCACCCTGGACGGTCCACAGTCCATCACAGGAACACACAGAGACACACAAGGACCAATAACCACTCACACTCACTCCAAACGGCAGTTTGGAGAGTCCAATCAACATGCAGGTTTTTGGATGGTGGGAGGAAGCCGGAGAACCCGGAGAGAACCCACGGACGCAGGAGAACATGCAGACTCAACCCAGAGAGGTCCTGGTTCCCCCGGGACTAGAATCCAGAACCCTCTGTGAGTGCTAACTGACAGCAGATTTTACTTTAACTGAAGTAGCTGAAATAAATTCATTCTGATTTTAGATTCATGAAATAGAGACAAAATGTTGAATATTTTTTTTACAGCTTTTGGCTTCTCTTCTTATTGATTTGGGATTCTGAATAAGTTCAGGGGAAACGCGTCGGCCCAATGGCAGCTGAGACAGACCGCAGACGCTTTTAAAGTAAACCTAAAGCTAATTTAAATGTTGCATTTAGCATCTCAAAATGTGAAGTAGATTTTTCTGCTTTTCTAAACAAACGTCGGAGTTTTTTCCACCACAATCCATTTCTGTTCCCTGCAGAATGAATATTTATATTTCTTTAGGCTCAGAAAGCCTCTTCGGCTGGTTCGCTGCCTCAGGTGTTCGGATCCAGCCGGATTATTTCAGCAATTCCCGGAGCTTTTATCGACTCTGAGCGGCGTGGATGTTTGTGCGTCCGGGGTTTGATGGAGACGTTAACTCATCTCTGCCCCTTTCTCTTCTCCCCCGGTCTCTCTCTTTTCTTCTGGGCCCGCCGCAGCCGGCTCTTTTAATGGAAAATTCACAGCCCACCTCTCCCCTCTGCCTTCCTCTCACCCCATTTCCCACCCTGTCTTCTTCTCCTCTCTCTGTATCAGTCTTC